ACTGGCTCCTCTCGGTCTGGGCAATGCATCTTGTACAGTGCTGATTGAGATCTTAAAATCTCCCTGCCTCCCATGTTAGGGTCTTAGTGTGGATTGAGATCCTTGTGCCTGTTCTAGAGTAAAAATGTAAAAAGAAGAAGAAGCTTCTAGACACATAAAAGGCCTTGATGATGATGTTTAGTCTAAGAAGGAACTTTACTACTTCTTTTTTTTTTTTTTTTTATAGATTCATATCAGCTTGTCTCTCCCTGCAGGCTGTGGCCTCTCTTCCTGGTTTAGTTACCTGAGAGCATCTTAAGACAGTGCAAAATACATAGGGAAAAGGAGGCAGGATGATAAGGGGGATGCACAGCTTGTCCCTGCTTCAGGCATTACATTCTTAACTTAAAAGAGGAACCCATGCAGAGGAACCCAAACACTGGAGTCAAAATCAATGATTTGCAGAGCCAGTACAAATTGTGTTGCTTCATTTGCATAATGTTCCTGGCATGGGGCTTGGATTTTTCTCTTGCCTCAGTGCGCCTGAGCATTCCAGGCTGTTCCCTGGAGGAGAGCACTGCTATGTTAGACCCACGCTTCTTTCTAGTAATGCAACTCAGGCATGTCCATAAAAGCAAAATCGTCTGGCTAGCAGAGCCTACAGTAAAGCTACGCACACAATAATACATCTGGAAATTCTCTTCAATGCATCTTTGACATATGTTTGCATCCATAAATGGGTATGCACAATTTTGAGTGGCTTGCTCTGAAGCAAGCGCAATCCTATTAGGAAACAGTGTTTTAGAGTATGGAAGGAGACTGTGTATCCATGCATGCGCACACATGTGTTTGTGTGTGATTGAGGGAGGCTGTGATCATGCCTGTGAGAATCAGGTGTTAATTTGATGTTTGCAGGAGAACAGCAGGCCAATTTTCCAATAATGCTAGTTTTGAAGAAATATGGAAGGGTGACCTTGTCTGCTGCATTGGAGGCCAGCGTTCTAGTCTCAGTTCCTCCTTGGTCAACCACCTGGGAAAGAGACATAATTCAGTAAAGGGGTCTTCTGGAAACTGGGCTGGAGCTTGCTTATTTTTATCCAGTGAGGAACTATCACGCCATGTTAGAGCTCCTGCTTTCTATTTCAAGTAGAAGATCCCAGGTACATTCCTTGGCAACTCTGAGGAAACCCAGCTTTAAAGACTGGCAAGTGAAAAGTCGTTTGGCAGACTTGGGTGGACAGGCTGAGCTTGACTTTGGACCAGCTTGTAGGTCCCGGTGAGGACTTTTGGCCATTCTCTGCTTGGCGTGCCAAATATAATTTGTCTGTGACAGCTGTACGGTGAAGCATGTGGTTGAAATATCTGTTAGAACCGAGGTTCACTCCTGCTGCTTTCGTATCTTTGGAGCTTCCTTTCTCATTTGGAGCATGAAGCGAGGCTGGACAGCAGCCCTACTGACCCACAGCTCATGTGTATAAATATCTATTATTAGTGAATAAATAGGATACACAGGATCTTAATCAGAATGGAACAGGGAGTTGAACTACTCTGCTGCCTTATTGGCATTGTCCCTTCTGGGAGTTATGGTACTCTCATTTCTTTCTTCACAGAGGCAGACAGTAAAACAGTAAAATACCACCCAATAGTCCAAAGGCTTTCCGGTTTACGTGTTGCTATTAAACACTCTTTTACTTGTTCCAACACGTAATTCTGGACAGTGTCCATCCTCACTCTGTTTTCTGTGTCACTCTGTTTTCTGTGTTGCTCTGTTTTCTATGTTTTCCTATTGTCCACATGGTGGGCATGTCGTGAGTGGAGCCGGCTGGTGCCGGAGGTCAGACTAGATGGCCCGGGAGACCCCTTCTGACTCACTCTGTTTTCTCTGTTTTTCTGTGTTTTTTCTATCTTGCTTTCTGTTTGTTCTTCCCTTCTTTTGTCCTTTTTAATTTCCTTTATGCCATCCTTCTCTTTCTTCCCTTGTTTCTCCTTCCTCTCCTTCCTTTAAAATGACTTTAAGGAGCAAATGGTGGGGATAGTGCCATAGATTGGACTTTGCCTGAAGCCAGGGCTCAACTTTCTTATATGTATTTATTTAGCATTCTTCTATCCTACTTTTCTGCCAAAAGAAGGACAAGAGTGGTTTACAGTGTTCCAATAACAGAACCACAAAATGATATGATCACACAAAAACATTAAAAATATAGTAATAATAACCTAACCTCAAAAACACCAAAACCAACATGTCAGGAGCCAAAATGCTTGTGTAAACCGAACGTTATTCTGTTTAAAAATAGTCACAGTGGGGGCTGATTGTGCCTTTCCTGGGAGGACACTTCACAAAGGGTCCCATGAAGAAAGCCTCATTTGAGTTTCCATGCTGCTAAACCTCATTTATGAGCAGGACAACTCCTGTAGCTCAGTGATGCCCAGCTGGCTGGTAATGAGGAAGGTCCCCGCATCCCAAATTATTGAAGAGCTTCTGGGCTGGATGCAAGACCTTAAATTGAGTGCAGACACTGACTGACAGCCACCGCAGTGCTTTCAGGATAGGTCCAGTACAATTCCTCTTCCCAGTCCCTGTTGGCAGCATTCCAAACTAGATGCAGCTTGCAAACAGTCTTCAAAGGAAGCTGTACACAGACCTTAGTGGTGTGTCGTGAGCTACCAGGAGAAGACCAGACGTTAGGTAACCAAAGACTCATTTTTGCAGCAGTCTTCCTCCACCTGGCATCCTCCAGAGGTATTCAACTGCATCATGGGAAATGCAGCCCTGTGCATCTGTGGGTGCCAAGCTGGTGGTAGGCTGTTTTATAGTCTCTCCCATCTTAAATGTCCCTTTATTCAAGTGAGGGTAGTTGCTAACTACTGGCATCTTGTTAGTGGAGAAAGACTGTCAACATGCAAGCTGGCCTTCAATAAGAAATTTGGGTCGTTCGCTTTGATTTCACATGATTAAATCTAGATCTTCCTTGTAAATGAGGTCTTTGCAGTGCACAGCTAGAACTTCTACTGCCTAATTCTGCTTACATAGAATGGATTCCTAACATCAGAAAATGTGATACCATCACTATGGATGACTGAGCTAGAGCATACATATTGGTTGTCACGTCAAGCTTAAACCTATTATTCCTATTATTCCTTTGGACTAGCGTGGGCTTTTATCAAAAAACATTCTATATGCAGTGTTTACATAACTTCGGTGAAATGTTTGAATAAACACAGCTGTGTTGCTGCCTTAAATATTTCCAGGCAAGGGAGGGTGCAGATTCAGAGAACGTTTATCGCCAAATTGCAGATAAACATGTTGTTGTATATCTGTAGCCAGTTTGGAGAAGGAGCTAATCAGGCTTACAAAAGAGTGTACCCCATTTCAAGTAATTTAAATTGGAGGGTTGTCACATCAGTCGGTGAATTCTCACTATATAGAGAGTCTTTATGAGTCACGTGGGTGACTTTTTTGGTATATTTGTGAATTCATACTGGAAAAAGAGGTAGGCGGACATTCTGTAACGGTCTTCCCACATCTGGTGTCTTCTACCTGTTTTGGCTGCAACTTCCAGCAACTCTAAAATGTGTACTGGGCTTGAAGGGTGTTGAATTCCAAAACATGTGCCAACACCAGGGTGGGGGAAAGTATGCTAGATTTGTGTGTGAGCATCTCTTCTATTTCATCATGCTATCACCCATCCTTGAGTTCTTCCAGGGAAGAAATGGACAACTTAGTGTACAATTAGCAATGTAAGGCATATGTCTAGTCCCAGAGGAGAAAAAACCTGCTTCTTGGGCCCAGGTGTCCATTGTACATGATGGAATGTTGATAGCCCTTTCCTGGGTGTTTCTGTATAGTGCTATCATGTAACCACTCCTTTGTAGAACATTTCAGAAAATGCTTATTAAGGAAATGCAATATAGAAAACCCCAAATAACTGGAAGCTTGACTGTACAGGACTATCACTCCTTCCTTCAACACATTTAAGATGTAGTCCTCCACTTACAGAGAGGATGCTGCATTAAACCCCTGTAGCACTTACTTCTACATGAATAACTGAGGAAGTGTGCTGTTACGGTACATCAAAAGTTGCTTTCTGCAGGATCAGATTATTTTTTCATCTAACCCAGCAGCGTTAGACTAACAGTAGCTACTTTGACTAAAAGCAGCTATTTAGAGTCCATGACAGGCCATTTTAGTCCTCTGTTACCTGATCTTGGATGGAAAGATGGAAGGATTGATGGTATTTGAGACCAAAGTGGTGAATCATATGAAGAAAAGCAAAATGCAAAACATAACAGTACTTAGTATAGACTAAAACTGTGGATTTCAAACAGGGAGAGTTTGAAAATTAGAATGCCTTTGGCACAGGGTAGATAGAAAAATTAGATCTCCAGGTGTTTTACACTTCATCTTCCAGAAGACCCTGCCAGCATGGCCAGTGGTCAGGAATTTTGGGAGGTGAAGTTCAAAGCATCTGAAGATCTAGCTTCTACCCATCACTGCTTTAGCAGATACTAAAAATGGAGCACCGCTGGTGATGCTGAGCATTGGCTGGCAAGGAATTCCATAGAGAGAGCACAGCTATGCTAAAAGCTGTACTTCACATGGCCTCTGACTGTCACTTAGGCACATGGGGAACTATTGAGGCCTTATTTGATGACCTCGGTGGCTGATAAGGAAAAAGGCACTCTCTCAATTATTCTGGTCCCACGTTTTAGCTAGAAATGCCAGGGAGTCAGCCCTGGGACCTGCTATAGGCAAAGCTTTCACAGGAGCTATGACTCTTCCCCCATTTGATGGGTTTCACAGGTGTTCTGAATGCTGACATAAGGTGAGGGCAGATTGAGGCTCTGCAAGTATCTTGATTATGGCCACAGAATTATGAAGTTGCACTTCATAGAGAAGTATGCCAGGCTGCATATTTGATGTGCTTAAAGGCCTGCAAAGTAGCTTCTAGTTTGGGCCTGCTTTTCAGTAATTGTGAGTAGAAACCTCACCTTTATCCCTTTACTCCTGTTTTTTCCTCCAGGCTCATTGAGGTCCATTCACCTGATGCGAAACACACCTTGGTTCTAAGAAGTAAAGATTCAGCTACAGCCCAAGCCTGGTTCCATGCTATCCACTCCTGTGTCAATGACCTGATTCCTAAGGCCATCTCAGAAGTCAAAGAACAGCTGGGTAAAGCAGGAATTGCTGGAGGCCGGGAGATCAGGCATCTAGGTTGGCTTGCGGAAAAGGTAAGGCCGACACTTCTCTCTTTCCCGTAACAGCCCTCATGTTCTTATGGTATGAACCTGGGGATAATCTTTCTGGACCTTTGGGGTACATTTGGGAATTTGAAAAACTGCTGTGTGTTCAACCCCACAATAATCAGTGGATTGCTGCTCTGGCGTCTTTCTGCTGTGTCTATGGATCTTAGGCAATCTTTTATTCAGCAAAACCTTTTGTTTCCTGTCTATTGAACAGTGCAATGACTCTTTAAGCAGGGATTGTCTCATTGAGCTTATTGCTGTAAATTCAGTGAAACTAACATTTCTTGGAAACATATGTTTTGGCAATATCCAGTTGTTACTTTTGGAGAGGAGGTTGTTATACAGATAGATTTTGCACTGAGGTTGCTCCATGGAAATTAACAAATTGATTCTCTGTGGCCTTTGGCAGCTAAAAGACTGATATTACAACATCGGAAGGATAAATGCTAAAATCTCATATAGTCCAATGGATCAAGGACCTTACAGTATTTCGAATATTTGAACAGGTGGCTTGGAGAGCCACCTTGAAATGTAGTTACTTGGAAATACGGTCTGTTTTTGTTGAAAACAATGTATGCACTTGATGCAGTCACGCATGTGTATTTTAGAAAATGGAAGAAAGGAAAATCTGGTGCCCATTGGCAGTACACTGGGGTAGCCTTTGTGGACTCCATGGCACCCAAGGGAAGCTCACACCTGGAGCAAGGCTTGTGTAAACATACCTGCCACTGCATGTATCTGATGAAGTGGGCTCTAATCTTTGTTAAAACTGAATAAATGTGTTGGCTTTTAAGTCAAGGGAGAGAGATCTGTGGCCATCCAGATGCTGTTAAACTACAGTGGTTCCTGGCTATTGGCCATGATAGCAGTAGGAGTCCAACAACTTCTGGAGAATCAGAGGTTTCCCACTGCTGTGGGGACTCTCTGTTGTTTTTGCTACCGCAGACTTAGCACAACAGTCACCCCTCTGCAAATAGTTTTCTGTTGGTTCAATGGCTTTCTTTGCTTCTGTGGCTCTCCACGGAGTCGGAAGTCAAAATACTGAATGCTTCATAAGAAAGACTAGGGCTCCACTTGATCAAAGGAACTTTGCTTGACATTCCTGTTTAAAATGCGATGCATTCTTTCTGGGCTGATGCACAGGCTAGCGTGCTTTTTAAAAATACCACGACAGGACTTTTCAGGATCTGCATTCGGAGGTGATATAAATAGCAATGATCCTGTTGAAACTTCAAGGTATCTCAGCTGCGAGTCCTGCCCCAACTCCCTGTGTTCAGTGTTCTTGTTTAGCAGCTTAGCCTGAGAAAGCTGGTCCCTTGGCCATTCAGCTCTTTGCCCATTTAGGGCTTCGGAGACACGGAACTTGGATGGTGCCCAGAGCTGAAAGCTGATGCCAAAGTGTGATGCTTTCACACTTTTCTTAGCAGGGGTTGCCCTTTGTGTGGTATGCATCTCATGTCCGCAGTCCAACTTCAAGTGACTTGTGCCATTCAGTTCTTTTTGGAGGTCACTGCTCTTAAACTTGTAATCAGTAAGAGTTTCAGAAAATCTTTCTCACAATGAAATTACAGTTGTGTTCCCCACTTTTTTAACTGTACATTTTTGACAGTTCCTAAAAATAAAGGCTTTTTTAAAATGATCCTGCTGATTCACCAGTTTCCATCCAAAGCAGTGGGTCCCAGCAATTCTACTACTTAAGCAAAACCCACTGTGCAGGCAGGAGAGATTTAGCACTTCCTAGGGGAAGCCCCCAAATGAGCGGAAACATTTGTTTCTCGAAAGAGGCAAATTGGCAGAGTTCCCTGATGCAAGCTTTACTGACCTGCCTCCCTCCAGAAATGCTCATTTTCACTTGTTTTGGATTGTCCTGAAAGCACTAAATTACCATTGTGAAAGCAAGAGGGACCGTGCAGTGGAATTGAAGGGCTGGATGCAAATCAGGGGGTATGGAAGCCAGCCATTGGATTCTGCTTTCTGCATTAGCCATCATGATTTTAAACAAAAAAGCCTGACAAATTTCTGCCCTGATGGATGGGTAAGATTTGTTCTTCCTAAACATACATTCCATGGAGTCTGTTATTATGATAGTGGAGAAAGTGAGAGGGAGTTGCCACTTGTAATCTTGCTGTAGGGTGCTTATGATGCAAAAGCATCTTGTTCATAACATACCCCAGGTCCCCCAGGCTTCTCTTTGGTTGCAAATGTGTGTGTTGTTGCTATTCATCATGTAGCTTCATTAGTGGTCTCTGTGTGTGTCTGAATGCAAGCAGAGCATAATGGATCTTTTGAGTGGCTAGTGTTAGCCACTTTTGCGTCTGAATTTCATGCCATGTTGTAACAGTTAGCAGTTGTGAGTTGGTAAAAGCAAAAAAGCCTTTAAAAGGTTACATGATAACTGTTACAAAATGGGCTAATTGCAAGTCATTTCCCTCAAGAACAAGACAAAGTGCAAATTTATAACAGTTTGCTATGGCTTTTTTTTTTTTTTTTTTTTGCAAACTGGGTGGTAGGAGCTATAAAAATGTTAAATAAAGCATCATAAACTCATTTAAAAACAGACTGCGTGATTAAGGTGTTGCGCCAGCGTCATGCAGATTGAAAAAAGTACATGAACCTGCATATAAGCATGCTGATTTTCAGTGCTAGAGAAAATATTCCATGATATTCACTCTATAGCAAAATCACTTTAATTCCTGGAAAAAGAATCTTATGGCCTGCAGCATATTAATACATATATTGAAAAATTAATTCATCTTGCCACTTCTGTTTAGGAAGTGGGCAGACTGTTGGACCTTTGGTGCCTGTTTCTCTCCTACCCATCATTTTAATTCAGTGAACAGCCTTACTTAGTTCAGTGGTAGGATACTTGTTTCATTCTTCTCTGCACGCAGATCTTTGGTTTGCTCCCTTTCACTTCCAGTTAATAGGTAACAGGCGACTGTGGAAGACCAGTTGTGTGAGACTGCCCGATGGAGTCCAAAATACCAGGCTAGGAAGAGTTGTTGTTCGCCCCTGGCTTATCATGCTGTCTGAAATTAGCCACACTGATAGACCATGACTTGCTGACTATTAGCAACCCATGAAATGAATACATGATCTGTTGCTGGGTTATGGACTATAGGTTTTTGTGAACAAGCCCTGGTTGGTTAGCTCAGCTGGGTTCAGACGGTGCAATAACCGTCATTTCAACCCACAATTCAAGATGACATTCACGCTCAACCCATAATCAACCCTTGAGTGTTGGTTGTCTTGCCTGAGCCCAGGCATCGTTGCAACTGCTCTTAGACTTACTGTGTGCAGTTCTCCTCTTCCCTGAACAAGGACATCACTGAGATGGAGAAAGAGCAGAGAAGAGCGATGAAAAAGATCAAGGGCTGGAGCATCTCTTTAATGAAGAATGGCTGGAACTGGATTGTGTCACTTAGAAAAGGGGGCAGTAAGGAGCGGCATGATGGAAGTGTTCAGGATAATGCATGGGGTACAGAAAGTGGAGAAGGTGGCATTTTTCTCCCATGAAGCTGATTGGTGGGAGACTTAGGACAAATCAAAGGAAGTACTTCACACCACACATAGTTAAACTATGGAATTCACTGCTGCAGGAAATAGGGATGGCCACTGATTTGCATGGCTTTAACGGGGACTGGACAAATTCATGGAGGGAGAGGCTATCCGTGGCTACTAGAACAATACAAGGGAAGTCTGTCTGTGGCATGGTAATGCCTAAACCATGACACCTAGACACCTGAAATGTGCCACGTGTACTAGAGTGACCCTGGCAGTGCGCACCTCATGGTTATTTTTTTTTTTAATGCATTAATTCATGCTAATTAATTTAAATGTGCCCATGTGGTGGAAATCTGCATAGCCTCTTCAGTCACAATGGCCATTTACACCCTCTGAGTAGGACGGTGTAAATTGATGACCTGCAACAGCAGGGGGTTGGACCCAATCGTCTTCTTGGCCGCTTCCAACTCTACCATTCTAAGATTCTACAGCCAATAACCCCTAACCAGCACAGTCAGCTTTGTAGTCCATACAGTTTGAAGCTATGGGAGATGTATAGGCCAAGGGATGCTGTTATATGGCTGCCCCTTCCCCAAAGCTGTGGGGCATCCCCCTTCAGGGGAATGGAGTGGCAAGACCCTTTTGGGGGCTACGGGGTGCAGCATGGCAGGGGTCTTCCTTTGCTCAGATGATGCAAGTGCAATCTGGCAGGATAATTGGTTGGTTGGAAGGCTTTACTCTACCAAACTAAGAGCTATTCCAGACGATGCCAAGTCAGGTTGTAAAGAAAAGCAAAAAGTAAATTAATAACAGCAAAGGCTCTCCCCCTCCCCATTTCTTTTCTCAATTTTTAATGAGCCTCTGCATTACTTGTTGTTCTTACTTCCCCTAGGTGATTAGTCTGAAAAGCAAAAGCTTTCAATCTGCATAGTAAAAGGGAAAAACAAAAACATTTTGCCAAGGTGCTGACCTTTGCCTTTTTGACAAACTCTCATTGGAGAGCAAACATGTTGCTGGATCAATCATGTTGAGGAAAAATATTATCATTTTTGGCATGGCCATTAATGTGCAGCTAATGGGTTGTATGGCGTGCACATTAACCTCAGCCCTCGGGTGCTTTAGATAGAACACAGTTTGCAAGATCACCTGAGGACTTTGAAGAAGGAAGGAAGGAAGACTTGCCCACCACACTGGCACATTAATTGAAGTGGGCCATTGAAGCAATGCTGCAGAATGCAGGTTTACTGCTTGTACAGTGTGATTGGTGCAGGGGGAACAAGCCATTTTCTCTCCCTGTTCATTTATGACTTTGTTAGATGGTTACATTATAGGAGAAATTTATGAGCTGTGAAATAGGAAGCAGAACTTGAATGTTAGATATAGTTATGACAATAGCTGCATCCAGCTGCAACAGTCAGCCATAGTTTAGCCCTGCGGGAACATGCCTGGGCAGTGTGTTAGTCATGCGCTCCTCCTTCTCC